TATATATATATTATGACCGAAAAAGGAAAACACTAAAGGGATCAAAATGCGCAACCTAAATGCATTGGGAAGGCGTGAAACTGTATTGTTGATACAGATCAGTGTCATTGTTATTAAGGAGATTAAAATGCATGTGCCTGAACTTAGCTATTCTGATGCTCTAGATTAACATTATACTTGGTTCCAAGCTACATGAAAAGATCTGCAGCACATTAATCTTGACGAGTGTGACCTGGTTACATAATGAGCTCCTCTTTCGAGCTACTGATTACAAATTAGCTTCGACTAATTTTTAAATGGTATTTTGTTAACACAGAAGTACTTTTAATATTGGGAGATTTACATGCATATCACTCAATTCTTATGTATTTACATATCAAAGACCTAAAATTTAATTATTACATATATGCCAACTTACCTATGCATGCAAAGTTGTATTTTACTTTTCAAGGATGTGTCTGGCTGCAAGTAGGATTTAAAAAATCTGTAATTTGTAAATCCGTTAAATCCATCCTACCCTTGGAATTAGTAAATCAGGATTTAAGCCAAATCGAAGGCAAAATTTAGGACCCAAAATCTAAAAAACTCATAAATCCACATAACTTCTGTATTCTAGCATTTGGCTGAATAGAGTAAATTAAGTGATAAATCCTGTAAAACCGTGGTATTTTTGATGTGATATGAAAGATTTGGGTTGATATAAATTTAACAATCATTGTTTAGGGGTTAGATATGCAAATACATAAGAATTAGGTGGCATGCATGTTACTGCCCCATTTAATATTTCTGGGATGGGAGTGTTGATTGGATGCGAGCTTAATGCCAAGGATGCCTCTTTGATTCTATCATTATACTTCACAGCTATCGTTGTGTTAGAAGGAATATTGCCTTTGGTTTTTGTTATGATTTTGTGAAACAAGCTCAATTATCGGTATTCTCTGAAGGCTGAATGAATAAAGGAAGATTTACATGCATACCAATCAACTCCCATTTATTTACATATCTAACTCCTAAGCTTTATTTTTTTAACATTCATACCACGTTAACTCCGAGACTAAAATGACGTCATGTAAATAGTTGGGAACTACTATGGTATTTTATTCATTTTTTATGTGATACGAAAGATTTCGGTGGTATAAATGTAGGAATTGAAATTTAGGTTTTAGATATGTAAATACATAGGAAATACATAGGAATTAGGGAGGAATTAGGTGGTATGTATGTAAATGCCCTGTGAATAAAATATCATTACTAAAAGTTACTATTTTATTTGTGTTTGAATGACTCATGCACTCATCTTTAAATCTTCTATTACACTTGTTTCTGCATAAAATGCTAATGCATTTGTCAACTTAAAGTACCGAGGCTTGGTGACAGGATTTTGGTAGCTTTATGGGATGGATGAAGATTGGGTTAGGCAATGCAAAGTCCTTTTTTTTTTGGTGGAATAATGAATTTTTTTATTGTAATTTCAATTTTATCTATGTGTACACCTTCATATGAATATGTAATATTTTCACATAGACATTCCTCCAAATGGCAGTATGGATGTCATGAACAAAAAATACAGTAGGAAAATATATTTTTAATTACCATATATTTTTTTAGCTATAACTCTATGTTTTAGGGAAATTTACGTACATACCACACAATTCTTATGTTTTTACATATCTAACACCTAAAGTTTGATATTTACACCCATAGCACCTTGGTGTCATAAGCCTATGTATGAAAAGGAGCATTTCACTTTTAAAAAAGGTATTAATGGTAGTATTTTTTTTGTGATGTTAAAGATTTGAGTTGTATGCATTTAAATATGAATGTTCAAGTGTTTGACATGTAAATACATTAGAATCATGTGTCATAAATGCCCCTTCTTTTTATTAACTTATATTTATTACATGGGTTAGTTGGGCCTGTTGCACAAACTTCTGGGAAAGAAGCATCACTCTACTTTTTATTCGCTTCTAATTGATGCAGGTTCCTGAAAGGATAGCTGCAGCTGCGGTTGCGGCTCGAGCTCTTGCTGGTATTCCCCCACATGAAAGAATTGCCCTTTCATCCAATTCTGAGGATTTTATTTCAGTTTATGGTAGCAAGGATCAGGTCCTTGAGATGCTTGAAGAGGAGTTCTACGATGAGGTATTCAATGCATCACTTTTAGTTGTTATTGCAGTTGTTATTGCATACTTCTCCATGTTTTTTTTTTTTGCAAGCTGGTTATTCTATCCCTGGCATTTAATAAATTTGAAATTGGTTAAAATATTAAGGTCTTACTGAATTTATGCTGTTAACCAACCAATTTATTAGGCTTCTCTATTTTTCATCTGTTTGAATAAAAAAATGGCTTATGTTCTAATTGATACACATACTTTCCCTCGTATTTGGAAAGTTGATGGATCTTTAATTGGGATTTAATAATTTGTTATTGGATCATATGAAGTGATTTTGCTATGTCTTTGAATATAAATGATTTATATGTGTATTAAATATGTTTATATTTCTCAATCTATCTAATTTTACAGATTTTTGTTTCAGGATTTTGATCCCGTCAAGTATATATTGGAGCACATTCAACTCGAAGAGAGTGACGCTTCTTATTTTGAGAAAAAGGTTCACATATGTTCTCTTTATTATATTTTACTTTGCTTTGTTTTTCCTTTTTAAGATGGATAATCTAAACAAAGAAATAGAGAAGCATATTTGGAAAAAAAATAAATAAGGGGAACTAGTATCAATTACATATATTATATGCTCACTTGATTGTGGTTAATATTTTGTTGCATCCGTTTTGTTGATGATATGATTTTCGTTTTCATATTCTCACTACATCATTTTCTTGGGCATTTACATAATTACAACTCAATTCTTATGAATTTACATATCTAATACCTAAATTTTTCTGATCACATAAAAAATACAGCCATTTTAACTTTTAAAAAGCGAAATACACATTTTCATGCATATTGCTCGGATTATATCCCACCAAAAATACAGCCATTTTAACTTTTAAAAAGCGAAATACACATTTTCATGCATATTGCTCTGATTATATCCCACCAAACTCAATGTTTGTTCCACCATTCTATCGATGTTGATTGGTGCTTCATTCTTGGTGGGTAGTCCATACGACGGCCACATTCCATCTATAATGGGCCGTTGTTGATGTGCTCGCTATTTTAAGAGAATATTAATATTGCGATTGATTTTTTTTTTAATTCATGAGAAATGAAGATTTTTTCTTAAAAACTTAGCTATCGCTTATTATCCAATAATTTTAATTTATTAGAAATATGTAAGGTGGTATGCATGTAAAAATTGAAGTATAGGTGTTAGATATGTCAATACACAAGAATTGAGTGGCATGTACGTAAATCTTCCTTTTTTTATGGTATGTTACTTTTCATGAGATTTGCAGTTATGGAAATCTAAAGTGCCATTTTCTGTTATCAATTTTTCTGATTTTCTTCTATTGTAATTTGAAATTTCCCCTTTAAAACACATTTAATTCTTATCCCGCCAAACAGTGGTAAATTGATTCTCAATTTTACTTGTTACTCTTTCACACTTCTTGCAGGCCACTCTTAGGCTGGCCCAACTTGATAAGATAGCAGAACGCTTGTCACGACATGTTGTGGAGCACCATGAAGAATTGGGTATGTTTATTCGTCTTGCATGTTAAGGGTCTACTACTTAGAATTTGAGTTATGTTAATCATTACCAGTATATATATTTTAGGATGATTCAATGATTTAATTATTGGAAAATTTACATACATATCATGCAATTCTTATGTATTTACATATCTAACACCCATGGTTTGATATTTACACTTATAACACCTTGGAGTGGTAAACCTATGCATGAAAAGGTTTATGTCACTTCTAAAAATATAGTGATGGTAGTATTTTTGATGTAATGGTAAATATTTTACTTGTATGCATGTAAATATGAATATTTAGCTGTTAGATATGTATACCTAAGAATTATTTGGTATGTATGTAAATGCTCCATAATTATTTTGAATGTTGTCATCTTCATACTTACAATTAAAATATGCTCGTAGTGCATCTTTTCTGTAAACAAAGACGTGTCATTATCTGCTACATAAATTTCCATCACTAGGATTTTCTCTTGGGAAACATTCATATAATATCTTTTTATGCGAGACGTGTGAGGTTTCTCATAAGCTCTCTGGTGAAGTGCTACACTTCTCATGTTGAGTGTGAGGTTTCTCATAAGCTCTCTGGTGAAGTGCCACACTTCTCATGTTGAGCAAAAAAAGGTCCTTTTAACTATCCCCATCAGCTTTACTGGTTTTTTATCCATTTAGGATAAAAGGATTTTCTCAGGGAAATTCACGTACATGCTGCCCAAGTTTTATTTATTTACATATCTAACACCTAATGTTTGATATTTACTTTTATAAGCGTCATAAAATTGTGCATGAAAAAGTGTATTTTTGATGTGATGTTAAACATTTGAGTGATATGCATGCAAATATCAAAGTTTGAGTGCTGATATGCAAGTATATAAGAGTTGTGTCACTTGTATTTCAATGCTTCTTTTTTATCATCGCTTGAAGCGCATGAGATACAATCAAGAATTGAATCGAGTGAAGTTTTGACAAAATGACTATATTGGAAGGTGTAGTTGATCACCCCCTCTTTGAGCTTTTAGTTGTGAGAAAGAAAGTTGAGAACACAAAACTAATGGAGTTGTCCGCTATTGTTGTGGTATTTAAAGGGAATGGTGCAGGGGATTAAAATTTTGGCCAATTCCCTGATTCACTTGAAAAAATTTTTTAGCTAACTTCTTAAATGCAAAAACCATGTTTGTTACCTTTGAATCCACAAATGTTCCTAAAGTTTTTGATTATTGGGTGGTTTTGCCAATTCAAGTTTAACATTTGACATTTACATTCCTGATGAACTTAAATAAGGTAGAATTCCTTTTAAAAAAAAAAAAAATGGCAGCATCTCTTATGATTAGTTGCTTTATTTAGTATCGTGAATATGTATTTTAAAGTTATATAGAGAAATTTGTATTATGGAAATAATGAAGGTCAATAAGTAGTTATCAACATGACTTTAAGGATAAATCACATGTATATCATTTCAGGTGGCAATTTATATTCTAGTGGACTTGGCTAATATTTCGTGGACAACGTTTTAAGATTTTAGAGTCCCTTATGAAAAAAATTAATTTTCGAATTAAACAAAAAAGTTTGTCTATTTCATTATTATGTGAGAAAATGAGATTTTAGGAGTTTTAAAACATGGACCTAATAAACATATATGCAATTTTCTCGTTTGATCTCTCCTTGTTTTTTTGCTTCACGATCGCGAATAAAATTATTGCTATAAATTTCAAAATAATGAGCTAGAAAAAGAGTGTTATGGTGGGTATTAAGAATATTTTTCTTTCCCCTTAACTTTAAGATCCTTAAAATTTTCACCCACTTTCAAATTAAGGAAATATGATGCATCTGAAAAGAATGCTTTAACAGAACTGCGGGAGGTTTGTATAGCAAGTTTGCTATAAGTGCATATTTTTCCATTTTTGGAGTGAATTATGAAGAGTATTGCAGGCTGCTATTGGCAGAAGAAATAGTTTGTGTTGGGATATAAGAGAGATACACCGGTTGATGTGGTATATATATAAAGCAAACTAGAGAACGATCTTTGAAGTGAAGAATAGAAGGAGAAAATTCACACTAGAAAAAAACAACACAGCGGAACACACAAATTTATGTGGTTCGACAAATTGCCTACATTCACGGAGTTGCAGAGGATTT